AAAAAAAAAAAAAAAAAAAAAAAAAAAAACAATTTTTTCGGCGTGAAAACAAAATTCCGATTGTCTCAAGGAAAAAAAATTATAGACAAAATTGAGAGCAAAAGCACGACCTATCCAGCCTGCGGACAAAAACAAGTAATCGATATATTGTGTTTTCGCCCTCAGATTTTTACAAACTCTTTTTGTTCTAAAATTTGAAAGTACTCCTTATACGCTGAAGAATTTGCATCATGTTTTTACGCACAAGTTCTTCCATTTCGGTTTTACTATTAGGCTGTCAATTAACAAAACATTTTTTTCCATAGCATTCGTTATATATATACAGTAGGGTGGATCAATTTTTCTCGATTTGGCTCTACAGTCCAGAGTAGTTGTATAGCATGAGCTGATTCCAAAACAGCCATTTTTTATGGGTTTATATGTCATATAGGGTGGCGACTTGAACGAGATTGAAGAGAAATTTTTCAAAAAAATCGAAAGAAATGTCAGAAAGAATCGGAACATTGGATTTTCTACGAACGAGCGCTATATAATTCAACGAACGAACGAACAAAATAAAAATATTTTTTCCTACGAACGAACGTTCGTTGACAGCTCTAATTTATAACCTATAGATTAAGTAAGAGACACCACATTGTAATACATTTTTCTGAAAATGTGGCAATGACATTTCCTGGAATGATCCAGAAAGTATTAACCATCCCAAGCTACTATGATACTGAATGCTATACCAAACTGGTCAAAAAATTTGCTAATATTTGTTTAAATAACGATGTTTTGAAAGATGATCTCTCAAACATGCAACAGTCAATCGAAGGCAATTTTATTTAAAATCCAGTTTGTGATCGCTTCAAAACGAAGCCGAAATACAACAATGCTACAACATAATTTAGATAAAATATCACGGTCAATTACTTTGGGAGGTAAACTGTACCAACTGTCAGCAGCATTCCTTTTTCACCCACCATCCGTTCTAGAGAAAGATATAATGGGTCATTACTCTACTGCTATACGATTCAATAAAACGTGGGAACTATTTGATGATCTGAGGGAAAATACATTTTCAATGTCGGGTGACACTGAGGTTACTATACACAGTGTTTTATATACAATATTAAAAAAAATAAGAAACTATAGAATTTTTAATAATTTTGACGCTCGCTGATGATGGTTTCTGAGTTGAAACCAAAATGCATTCAGTATATAAATAAGGTTATTTCACTTTTTTTTACATAAATAAGAAACTATTTTGTCATAAATGATTTATGATAAATCTTTTTGAGATTTTCAAAAAAAAATTTTTTTTTACTTTTTTAAGAAAAATAAAGAGGCTTACGTACGCAAGCTGACTTTTCCGCATGGAACCGAAATTTTGGGAATAAACTTAAATCATGGTCTTTGTATGGTTGCAGTAACTTAAATTACCGTGAAAAGTTGTGAATATTATTTTCTTATCAAAATAAATAATCACACCAAGTTTAAAGAAATTTCAATCCAAAAAATAGCCTGTTCAAAGTTTCAGATCATTACGGTACCACAAAGGCAAGTCTTCCATACAAAAATGAAACTTTTTGTGGATTTTTGTATGAAAAGTGTGTGAAAAATTGATTGCATCTTAAAACTAACATCAGATTCGGGTTTCTCCCCCCACTACACATTCATTCAGCGTTCAAATTGAAAGAATATCATTTTAAGGCATTTTTCTCATAAGTGCCTCTTCAGAGTCTAAGTTTTACACCGATCAATCAATGTCGTTGAAAATTTGACCAGATTTATTCCTCGTAGTGCCCAATCATCCCGTGAAGTCACATTTTGAATTTCATGTCTGAGCACGAAACCATCGTGTCACCAAAATGGTTGAGAAATGATCAAAGATGTATGGATGTGGGATTGTGGGTACTCCATTCGGACCAAAAAAAAATATTGCTCAAAAACTAATCAGCACGTCTCTTAGTAGTCCCAAATCATCCTGCAAAGTCATAATTTGAATTGAGTTTTTGGAAGAGGATTTATCGTGTTAACAAATTTTGGCAACACGCCACAGGACACAGGACACAGGACACATCACACACAGCGACGCACATTAATATGCCCCAAAATCATCTCCAATCGTGTTTTCTACATTAAATATGCATAGAAAACATGTTTTGGGATGACTTTAATTTTTTGGCCTAATACAATACCTTCCCTACACTAGGTGTGCGGAAAAGTAAAAAAAGTGCACTCTTTTTTTGAAAAATTGTCAAAATTTGACGTTTTGATTATGAAATATGAGTCATTTACGCAGCGATTGAAACAAAACTGACAGCAAGTGCATTGATTTTGATCTCATGTGGCGCATACCTTCCTCTCGGAACGTTATATCATTATTTTATTTCATTCGTTTTGTGTCGTGCGACATCTGGAGAAGTCATTCAATTTATTATCGTCATAGTTGCAATCTTGAATTGCTTTTGTCGTCAGTGAATTGAATAAAATAAAGCAACAAGAATTTTTGTGTTTACTAAAACATTGTTTACGCTTATGCACTCCATCCATTCTAAGTATTTTGATTGGTCTGCTCGCCAAATCAAAGCGTTTGTAAATACGTTGATCGATGATTAGCGGCAATTTTCATACGGAATAAAATTGAGATTCGTGCGGTAGTCACGCTTGTGTGACAAATTCCAACAAAAAAGAAATAATAACGAATGCCGAATCGGCATCGTCGACGATAACAATATTTTTATTCCGCTGAAATAAACTCTATCTGCGAGTACAGAGAGAAGAGAGTAGGAACGAAGAAGAAAAAAAAAGTTGTCGAACTGTCGCGATTGATGTGCGTTTGTTTTAGTTGTTTATAAGGCGTATGGTCGGTCGATTTTAAAATAAAATTCATCATTCGCACGGGCTCCAGATGCATTAGCAGCGTGGTATTCGAAGCAGCAACTTATTTTCTCACAATCAATTTGTTTTCATAGTGAAAACGAGTTCAACAAGTAATAAAGTAAACGCGCGCATTTGAATCAGTTGAATTTTTGTGAAGCAATACATACACTATATTGTTCGCAGCACGAATCTCAAATAGCTGAACAAGCAAACACGCGATACACTTTGTAACAGCAATTGCATGAAGAAAAATCTTCAACACATTTTGGACAACTACAAGCGCAATATTATAACTGTGTTTATTCTTCCATTACGTTTGCACGCACGCACCGCACGAGCTTGTGTGAGTACAACCAACAACAACAACAAAAAATACTTCTGTGATATTGGTTTTTAAGTCCAACGAGCTTTCTACTTGCTCGTACCGCGCCGTCAAATTTATTGTCATTTCGGTTGTTATAGTGTCAACACGTCTTCGTCTTGGCTATTCGGTTGGTTTCGATTTCAGTATTATTATTTTTTCGTTTCACCTGATTTTTTTTTTTGTTGTTGTATTTTTTCATCGAGCAAAATTATTTAATTTCATTGAAAATCGAGACATATATTTTTAGCCGATTTTTCTTAAGAAAAATGACTGATTTGTTTTTTTTTTCACTCCCACTTTCTGACTATAGGTCATAATTATTGTACCATTCAACATCCGTACTGTTTTTCGGACGTCAACGAGCTGATATACATCAATTTAAAGACATCAATCTAGTTATTTTCCAGACACATACACAATTACCAACAAAATGCCAGACTTTTATTTTGGAGGTATTGAAGGGTATGTATTTTTTCCATTAAATTATCTATACGAATAATAAAGTGTGTTGTTATCGTATTGTGAATGAAACAATAAAAATGAACAATATTTCCAATTCGTTACCACAAAAGGTGCCATAAATTACTGATAATGATTTTATTTGTGTTTTAATCATTATGATAAACGAAAATCATTCGATTGTTCCATATAATGAAAGTGCCAATTATGGTGGCAGATTCTGAGTGAGAGTGCAAAGATCTCATTGCGAAAAACAAATTAAGGAATTACAATGCACAATTTGTATCAGTTACAATGAATTGCGATCATTTCTCTCCGTGCGAGTGTTCAGAGGTTTGTCATTGTTATACAATTGAAGTCAATTCAAATTGATTTAAAAATGACCATAAATTAACTGTCAAATTTATAAATAAATGCCTAAATTTACGCTTCAAGTCACATTGGAGCTATTTGGAGCATTTTGCTATGCCCCCCCCC